TAATAAAGTCATCTAGGTACTTCTATAACATATTATTAATTATATTTTAGAATAAGACAGGCATATTTATAAGGCTAAAGGGCATTATAAGATACTTATAATATCCTAGATAGGTATAAAAGGCTGTTTTCTACTTATCTCCCTTCTTAATATATATAAGGTTGTAGGCACCTAGTAGGTCTAGTATAATAAACTAGTTAGCACTATATAACCTATTATAGAGTTTAGTAATCAATAGTAATAGATACCTATTCTTAATTATAATATTATTAAGTTATTAATAGTTAATATATATTCTCTATTTATTATTCTTCTTAGGTACCTAGAGGATAGGATATCCTATTAATAATTATAATAGTTAAATATATCCCTTTCTAAGGTTTTCCTTAAGGTACTTCTTTAGCTTACTTAGCTATAATTTATTTAGCCTATAGATCTTCTAAAATTTTAGCTATATCCTTAGTTTAAGAGATATCTTATAGTTATAATATAAATATAGCAGTAATCCTATTTCTAGTTCTTTTTAGAACAGTTTATTATACTAGTAATATTCTTCTAGTATTATCATAATCCCTCTAGGTATATCTTTCTTTAAATATAGTAGTACTTTATAGGTTTATAACTTATATACATCCTATCTTTAAGAAGTAGTAGAGGCTAAGTCCTTCTTTAATTATTTCTAATTAAACCTTATTATCTAGATTAGCTAGCTAGTAAACTAATTAATAGTAAGGTTATACTTCTATAGCTATAATAGTCCTAATATTATATTATATCCTACTATATTAGTAATATCTAAAGTGATTAGTATTTTCTTAGAGTTAATTATAATAGAGATTTATAATATCTCTTAGTTAATAATTTCTCTATCATACTAGACTAGTTTCCCTTCTACTATATATAATTTATAAGGGTCCTTTTTATAAGCCTATAGTATATTGAGTTTATTTATTATCTATAATAATATAAAGTTTTTCTAAGCTCTACTATTTATTAGTATAGTAGTCTTATATCCTCTAAGCTATATTTTTACTATAAATAGTAATAGATTAAAGGTTGCTCTTAGATTCTTTATCTTTTTACTATTTATTTAGCTCTCTAATAACAGTACTTATTATTTTTTAGTATAGACTAGCTAGTAGTTTCTTTATAAAGTTACTTTATATATTCTATATATACTAGTCATCCTATTTTCACTTATTCCTCTAGGGTAAATATCTTATTCTAAGTAAGTATTAGAATATTAGAGGTACTTTCTCTTATCCTTTATATTCACTACTATATCTAACTATATTAGAGGTACACTTACTCTTTCCTAGCTTCTTTTTATAATTCCTACTATTAATACTATAACTCTAGTTTTCTAAATCAGTAAATTTTACATACTACTATAATATAATTAATTATTGCTCTTTATCTAAGTATATAGTTAACTAAATAGTTAAGTCTTATCTATAGGATAGCATATCTCTTTATTATATCTTAATAGAAAATCTCTTAATACTCTAGATCTTCTTTTAAATATATATATAGTAGGAATTCTTTCTACCACCTAGGCATAAATTAGTACTTTAGTTTCTTTACTAGATATCTTAAGTATTTATTAAATATATATATAGACTATAAAACCTAGTTATATCATTCATCCTTATAATATAGTTATAGATCCTCCTAATCTTATATAACCTCTCTTCTTCCTCCTACTACTACTTAATAAGAAGTTATTCCTAGAAGTATAATAACTATCTATTCTCTACTTAGAGCTGGTTGTTATTAAATAGCTATTATTTATCTATATTTCTTATCATCACTTTCTAGTAGAGGAGTAAATAGGTTTTCTCTCTAGTCTTCCTTTTCTTTAAGCTATACCTATATTCACTTACTATTATCTTCTATAGCTACTAAGTATATATCTCCCTTCTATATAAATTCAGATCCTTTATCTAAGTCATCTCTAGATCTAATCCTATTTATTTCTAATAGGATATTATTCTATTCCTTTAGCCTAAGTAGTTCCTTTCTAAGTAACCCTCTTTTTCCTATAGTAATAACCTTTAGTTATCCTATGACTTTTAGGAACTATCCTAAGACCTTCTTACCTTAAATATATATTAGATAAGTATTATTATAGTATATTATCTAGTACTTACTATTATAGTTAGCCTTCTAAGCCATACTTACTTATTATATAGGCTTAGGTACTTTTTCTTACTTTTTCTATTAGTAGTTATAGGTAAAGTATCCCTTCTTACTATAGTTATAATAGGTCTTATTATTATTCTATTTTATAGTATTAAGTTCTATAGGTCCTATATACTATATAGATCTTTAGGCTGTAGTGCCTTTTACTTATACTATTTTTCTTTCTTAGTTAGGGGTCTTTAGATAATATACTTATAGTTATTATCCCCTATATTCTATCTATTATTTATAAAGTCAGTTATTAATCTAAACTATAATTATAATATACTATATAAACTTCTTAGGTCGGTCTATTTTAATAAGTTTATTCTTAACTTCTGCCTTTAGCCTAGTGTAAAATATAACTATTAAAGGTTTATCTTTCTATTTAAAAGAACTTAAAGCCTGTCTAAATCTAATAGTATAGCTAGATACAGATCCTATTTATTAGAGTATTATTAGCTATTATTCTATTATTTATTTCTTATCTAAATCTCTAAAAGCTGCCTTAATAGCTTTCTTAAATATAGTAAAACCTCCTATAAAGATAACTTAAGCCTTAGGGTCTCTATTATTCTTTAGGTATTCTAAGTAATTCCTCTATATAGGTTTAAATCAGATAAGGGCTTCTCCTTTAAGTTAAGTTATTATAAAGAGTACCTAATCATCTAGATATAGGAAGTTAGATTTATACTTTATAAGATATCCTCTATACTAAGTAAGAAATCCTTAGAGACCTTTCTTACTTCCTCTATATATTAGTAGAACTTTATACTTCATACTCTAGGTACCTCCTATCTATAAGGCCTATACTAGAGTAGAGAGTCATTAGATTTTAGTACTAACTTATTCTATTATAAATAAGGATATGTTATTAGTAGATTAAGATCCTAATATAGTTTCTATAAATATTACTTAGGATATAGTCTACTAACTAAATAAGAGTATTTAATATATAATAATCCTTAGTCCTAAAGAATAAGACTACTTTATAGGACTAGAGGCATATAGATTTATATAAGCAGTAAGTAATAGACACTATTAAGCAATAGTAATTAACTTAATTATAGCTAAGATAGCTTTACTTAAGGGTACTTTATTAAATAAGATACTTTAAATACTAGAGAGCTATCTAGGGTAGGTATCTAAAGATAGACATACATCTATATATATAGACAATAGATCACTTTAGATCATAGTGATCCTTTATAAGTTCTTACTATAGAGTGTAGTAATCTATAATAAGAGATCACTAGCTTAGATAGCAATCCTAGGGTCCATACATTTTCTACCTATCTTATCTTTCTAACTGCCTAGGGTGGTGTACTATAGTAAAGGTGGTTGGTTTTATGATATAATAGGAAAAGTTCTTCTATTAGAAGATTATTTATAGATATTCTATTAAATAAAATAAAGTTCTAGCCTATCTATAGAAAGAACTTACTAATAAAATATTAAGAGTATAGGTTACTAAGAGTATAGGTTACTAAGAGTATAGGTTATTAAGAGTATAGGTTACTAAGAGTATAGGTTATTAAGAGTATAGATTACTAAGAATATAGGCTGCTAATCATATAGGCTGCTAATCATATAGGCTACTAAGAGTACAGGCTACTAATAATACAGGCTGCTAAGAATACAGGCTGCTAAATTATATAGATTACTAATCATACAGGCTACTAATAATATAGATTACTAACTATATAGGCTAAAAGGGTTTGCTGTCTAGTGATAACCCTATAGGATCAGTGAAAATCACTATTAAGAGATATCTACTTACCGCTTTAAGTGGGGCTCTGCTGACATCTAGCAAGAGTTTAGACCAATCAGAGGGCTTAAAAAGTCATGCCCGGTTAAGGTCATGCCCGGCTAGCAAAACAGTCATGCCCGGCTAGCAATTGCCCTATCTAATACTACAGAAGCTCTTAATCAAAAGAACATTAAAATAGCCACTCTTACTAATAAGATTAAGTATCTAGAGATTAAGATAGAGGCCTTTAGGCTATATAAGTAATCTAAAGTCATTTCTAACCCTAATAATAAATTCACTAATATTAAGGCTATTTAGAAGGCCTAGAAGAAGGCCAGCGGCCAGAAGGAGGACTAGATGGCTAGAAGGCCTAAAACACCATAAAAATAATCAATATTGCAAATCTTACGGCAGAAATAGCTTCATCTGAACCTATATACCTATTTGGCAATTTTGCACGATTTTTCCGGATCATAGTGGTGCAAATAAAAATTCTCTTATTAAATTGATGGTGATTCTGGCCCCCTTGCACTGCTGTCCGGGATTGGGGTGTGGCCGGTTGTGGGGCTGACCACACTACTTGTTCCTTTGTCTGTTTTGGTAGCGAGGACGGAGGTGGTGTGGCCTACGTGGGGCACACCATGTTGGAGTGGAAGGTACAAGTGCGCGGATTTGAGCATGTTTCTGCAAGGCCTAGTCCTTAGCGGCATCTCACTTGTACCGGTACTTTATCTCCTTCTCCGACCTCACCGTCTTAGCTGAGAACGAGGCAAAACCGGAGCGAGCTGTTCACGAGAAATTCAAAAGTCATGTGCAACGAGTCAATAGTGACAAAGTGTGAGAGGGGAACTTTTTGAAAGAGTGTGTCATGGGTATATTGTCAAGCAGGAAGAGACAGGAGGCACTTGATATCTATAAGCCAGCCAGGCGAGAGCCCGTCGCTTGCCGGCAAGCGTCGAGACCGCTTCGCAACTCCGCCCGACCTTCCTTCCAAGGGGGCATATCGTGTCGTCGTCAGATTTCGTCGTCGAACTCGTCGTGGTGTGCATTGCCAATGCACAGTTGCAAACTAGTGTTCAGAGATGACGGCATACCTTCCGACCAGCAAGCTGCCCAGGAAAGTGCCGCCCAGAACCGAGATGAAGTAGCCAACGTTCATCGTCATGACCACAATCATACTGTGGAGGAAAGACAATCATGGTTAGCGGCGACGTCTGACAGTGGCTTTAGAGAGGGGGCCTCGTCCAGACAGGGAAGGATGTATGGGGGGGGGATAGAACTCACAGTAGATATCCGACGCCGGCGATGACCATGTCGAGCAGCGCGCGCAGCGGGTCGACCGACAGCCTCCAGGGGCGGACGTGGTTGTGCTTCTTCTTGAGCACCATGACGTCCTCCTCGACGCCGTTCTCGGACAGCACCATGCGCTTGGCCATCGAGTCGCGCGAGACCTGGCGCGACAGCGACTCGCGGCCGTTGACGACGACGTAGCGGCGGTTGAGCTCGCCGTCGAGCCAGCGCTCCTCCTGCCAGCCCTTGAAGGCGAGCAAGGCCCGGAACAGCATGGCGAGGGCGATGATGAAGATGCAGGTGCCGGCGTAGGCGCCGGCGTTCCTCGGGGTCCAGGCCGCCGAGTAGAGCGAGGTGGCCATGTCGGTCTGGAAGATGGCCATCATGGTCATGTGCATAGGGGATCCCGAGGCAGCGGCAGCAGCAGTGGTAGATCCGTCGTGGCCCATGCCCATGCCATCGTCCATCGAGGCGCCGTGGCGGCGGTCCATGGTCCCTGCAGCGGCGTGTGGTTATATATATATATATGTATAGATATACCAGAAAGACTGGGAGGGGAATGCGTTTTTATGAAACTCCTCCCAAGTGGGTGGTTGCGTAGGCGAACTGAGAGAAATGCAACACAACAACGGCGTGCGTTTGGCTGTTCGGGCTGCCGATGGCAAGGTTATTTGTTGTCGTCTAGTTTAAACAAGGCGGATCGAAATTGAGTCTAGCCCTGGAGAAGCAAGATGTGCACCTCTGCGAGCCAGTCGAGAGTGGTGGGCAATATCAGAGCCGGCTTTTAGGCTGAGAGCGAGCAGCAGTGCAGCAGTGCAGCAGTGCAGCACAGGTGACGGTGTGGTGCTACCCGGTGGTGTTGCTCGAGTACTGAGACAATTTTGTGGTGTTGCAAGGCACTTACTTAGTCGACCACTCTTTCGTTTGCACAACGCAAATTGCCCGCTTTTTCGGAGGCCGAAAGAGAGAGAGACCTTGGAGATGGAAGTTGGAGATGTGTTTGGTGTGAACTGGAGGAAGCATCGTCAAAGGGAGAGGAGGAGGAGGAGGCGATGAGTGCCTTTTTCATCTCTCCTTCTTCTCTTGTCCTGCCCTACCCATCCCAGAAACATGCTCACTGTGGGGAAGGCGTAGTAGTGGTTAGTAGTGGGCGGATGGGGGGGCCACAGAGGCACAAGTCACTACCTGACCCAACCTGGAACCAATTGCTCTGTGCATCCATCGCATTGGAATGGGTCTTGGTCAAAACTTACGAGCGACCCTGACGCCGCACGGGATCCCCAAAGTTGAGGCATCGACCAGGGTGCCGATTTCTTGGCCTTTGCGCCCAAAACATCTCCAAAACAAGCTCTAAACGCCCGGGACTCTGTCCAGCAAACAATGGTGAGATTAGAAAAAAGAGAACCTTCTTTACGACTTTGGTCCAGACTCGTCCAAACTGGCCCGCCCAGTTCAGGGTCGAGCAAGCCAATGGCAGGCTGGTGGGGCTCTCGTCTGCCGGCGTCCAAGTACCGGTACTTGGGGCCACAGACTCGAGGGCCGATTTCACGATCACGGGCTAGGTATGAAGCACTTTGTATCAAATTGTTCCCAAGATTCGGTGCCTGGTTGAGGTGTTGAAACTGCAATGAAGCTTCCCAGGTGATACCGCGCTTGAAGCCCTGTGTCTTTCGAGGCACCAAAATCAAGCCACAGCACCCCTGACCAGCTCTTCCAACGAGGCTGCTTGCATAAAGGCCTCGTATGCTGGCAAGACTAGGATTCCCAGCCCATGAGCGGCAAGGCGTGATTGTTCTGACCAGACTGGGCTCTCAACCTGCCTCGTGCGACCACGACGACAAGCAGAGAGTGTGCCATTCCGCTTCCGAATCGTGCACCGCAGCGGCATCAGGGGCACCGCTTATGGCAATATGACAATATGCGCATAGAGACTAGTTATTGCCAACAAGCACGGGCCGGCTCAGACAATAAGTATGGCCAGTCCCGGAGAATTCGCATCTTCCTGGCCAAGCTTGGGATGACGAGTGATAACGTTTGAATGGCCGCCACGCGAGCAGTGTTGCGTCTCTCTGTCAGCCCGTCCGTCAAGAGATATCCCGTCAGCCTCTCTCGCTGACACTGCCAAGTCGGTCACGGCCACCAGGCAGACTCTGCGACGCGTCGCGACTGCGCGCGCAGGACTTGACCGTACTGGCCGTCGCCAGGCTGGCAGACCCAACGGGAGGCAGAGTCTGGGTCCGACGGCCGGCGGGAGGCGGGAGACGACAGCTTGGTACCACAACGGACGGCTGGCTGCTGCTGGACGCCGCGCGACACGGTGCCCAATGCGGTGTGGGGAAAAAGGAAGCAAGAAAAGGGGAATGGCCCGTTTGATGGTGAGCACAGGATCTCCAAGCTGGGTTTAGAGTTTCTCGCTCGACTCGCTCTCCCTTCCCAGCTCCTTCTCGTGGACGGACCACCGGCCGGTCCCCTCCCAAGGGGGCAAACCAAGTAGGGATCTGCAACCCAGCGACCCCACGGCAAGTAGCGCTGGGTCCTCTCTGGTTCTACAACAAAAGGCCCAGAGCCGAGCTGGGCTGCTGCGCCGCCCCTATTATGTACACGCATTCCCCCGGCTTGCACGCCGTCAGATGCATCTAACCCGAACCACACAACTGGGACCCGGCTGGACCCAGCGAGCCTAATTTGACGTCCAACGGCTTCTTTTCTTCTCTTTTGCCTGACCGCCGGTGCTGGATTCCTGGTTCGGTATCCATGGGTGCAATACCGTGCCAACGCTGGACCGAGCCTGGGTTAGCCTGCTAGGAAAGCGTATACGCTGGTGGCGTGTGCGGAAACAGGACCCGGGCCCAGGTTGTCGATGTCTCTCCATATAATTCTTCAGCCTTTCTTGGCAGACTTCTCAGGCTCTCTGACAAGATAGCAAACGATGATTGTGGTCCGCCCTCGAGAGGTCCTGCCTGAGAAAATGGGTTGTCTCTTCAGTAAGACCCTGGAGGAGATCTCGCAGCCATTGAAACGAGTAGTGCACTCAACCACGATGGACGGTTGCCAAAGCCATCTCTCACTCGAGAATGGGTGGGCTCTTCCCCTTTTTGAAGCGAAGAAGGGCGGTCCATCAACCCCCTCCCCCCAAAGCACGGATACGCTTTGGTCCACTCGGATGGTTTCTCGCGGTAAGCAACGGGCCATGTTCTGTTAAACATCCCTGTATGTGTCTTCCGAGCACTCGTAACGTAGACGAAGAAGAAGCAATATGCACACTTGTGACCAGCTCAAAGATATTTCCCAGTCCCACCACCATCGGATGACGCAGGTCAAGGGTTATTTGATAGATCTTGCACAGCCCTTTCGCAGGCTTAAGAACTCGAAGAAGGAAAACAACGACCGGCAAGAAATATCCGTCGATGAAGGAGCAGGTCTGAGATGGTATGATGTCAGAAAGCCGGAACACATATCTCCACGGAGTCCTCACCGAGAGAGCAATGGCGCCGAGACTGAAGATCTCGTATTTCCTTGCAGCTGGACGCCGACGACGCGAAGCCAGGACAATCTAGGTGAGCGAGATTGGGATTTGCAAAAAACCAGCCCTTGCAATCCTCGCTGATGTGGCAGCAAACCAGATGGACAGAGGGCCTTAGCCGGGCTCCCCAAGTCGGAACTTGCCGCAGGAAAGAGCTTGGTCAGCGTCGTGCTGATGCAGATCGATCTGCCCAATCCGGCCCTGCTCATCCCCGAAAATGAGGCGAGAGAGAGAGAGAGAGTGGCCGATAGATGGAGAAATAGGACGAGCCGGGGGCAGGGCGAGAAACGAGATCTGCAAGAGCAATATTTTCATTCGTTCGCCCGCCCAGCGAACGGATGCAGAGTTGCTGTCGTGCACTATTCAGCTCTCGCCTATCCCGGCCCAATCTATCGAAAAAATAAAAAAAAATAAAAGATGGGTGTCCCCTATCCGTCTCCGGAGTAGCTCCAGTTCCCAAGGGAGTGGGCCGGCCACTTTCTAGGCACAGGAGTTCGAGGCGCTGGTGGCGCAACCCTCAACGCGCAGCCCGGACAGGGACCCTCGCGCCCCCCCCTACCTAGCTCATCCCCTCCTTTGGGACAGAGCTGAAGATGTGGACGCGGGCCAATACGCAGGGAGTTAGTTGCCAGCCACTCCCCTCCGCCATCCCCCGAATCTGAAGCACGCCACCACTTTCTTCTGCACGGGGCAAAGACAAGGACGGGGAGGAGGAGGAGGAGGAGGGGTGTACGCATAAGGGTACCTGCTCCATGCCTGCCGTCTGGATCTGGCGATCAGAGACGATGCCGTGTCACTGGGGAGCGGGAAGAGGACGGCGACCACGGGTGAGAAAAGGAGGGTCAGAGACGGAGCAGTAGGCAGATACTCTGGCTTGGTCGAGGGGGCGAGAGTGGCCCGAAGTAAGCAGTGCATACGACGGTGCAGATGTGTCCCCGATGGAGCATGTCCTAGGTACACCTCTTCTCGACCCGTTCGGTGGGTAAGATCACTATTGAAAATGCTGCTGCTGGAAAGGAGCGGGGGAATAGCGTGTGGTGGGAGAAAAGGGACCGGTGAGGGAATTTGTCGCTCTTGTGTTTTCCTCGTCAGCCTCTGGCATGCTCGTTCGCGACGCATTCTCCGAGACCGCGAACCACGGCAGGGCTCTGGGTTACCCGCTGAGGCCCACGATGCCTCCGTCCTTGTCCACATGGCAGCAGCACTGTCTGTGACAGCCCTCCCTTTTGGAACCCGGGGTCTCCAGTCATGGGCCTTTCAGCCGTTCTGTCACCGTTGCTTTTTCTTTCCTTTCTCGTCATCTGTCTTTCTTCACGGCAGACATCCGATCCTTTATTGGAGCCAGCATCCCAGACAAGGACTGGGCTTGGCCCAGGGCTTGCCAGGGCGGCAGGACCATGTGCTCCCTGGTGGTGGCGCTCCTCGCCCGATGGCCACCCTCTGTCACATCTCTTTTCCGAAGCCTGTCAAGATCCCCTTCCCCTAGGTACTCCATGAAGAAGAGGAAGAGGCAGAACAACACGACTAGAGGTTCAAGCAGCCTGCTCCACCTCGAACGAGAACAAGCAATATGCTTTTCAGTGGTTCGCACCGTATCACAGCAGCCTAATAGGCAACTGCCTCCTGGAGGTGATTTCAAGTAGCATCTCGGGACATTGACTCTAATCTTGGCAAAAAAAATCGTGTTTCTATCCCCCCCATCTTTGGACATGGCGGGTTTGGAGGACAGATATCTTAGAATCGAGGATCCTTCTACATAGAGCGCGAACAAAGTATGGTATCGAGCATAACAATTTAATTTGATCGCCAACAGGTACTCTGGTAAGCCGTTTTGGTGGGTATAAAACAAAACAGGATCCGGCCGGGCAGCCGGGTGTGTCCTCAAAAACATCAAGTCCGCTCTGTGACCGCTGTACAATAGATTCGCCCGAGGTAGAAACCAGAAAGCCCGTATAAACCAAAAGAAGAGAGAGAGAGAGAGAGAGAGAGAGAGAAAAGGCCAGAGGAGAATATGACCCCCTGCCGTTCTACCGCCAAAACCCTGCCAGAACTCCTTGCCGTTTTCCCATACCGAGATATGTGATGTGCTTTCCCCAGCCGCAAAACGAGAAAAACTTCGAGCGCCGAAACCCAACCAAACTAAATACACACAAGTCTCTTCTCAAGACTCTGGTTCTGTTTACATTCGCCCCTGGTTATCTGATTCCCAGCGGTGTCGTGGCGCATCATAGCGAGAACAAAGATGGCAATCCTAGCCAGGTGCAATTTCGGCCTTCTCCTCGCACGAGGCCCTTGATTCTGTTCAGTTCGTTGATTCGGATCCGGGCTGCGGCGAGACGCTTCCATCATTCGCGCTCCCAGACCGAAGGCCGGAGGATCCAGCTTCGTCGCCGCTGTTCTCATTGCCGGGTTCTCTGCAGCCCTTGACAAGGCGATGCCTCTGTTTCCTTCAGTTAGTACAAGATCCGAAATTCAAAACCAAGGACAAACAAACCTTCAAAGCATCCTTCCTGCTGAAGCTCTTGTCGCAGTTGTTGCACGGGAAGGGCTTGACCGCCAGGTGGATGCGCTTGTGGCGCTTGAGGTCGTGGTTCCGGTTGAAGGCCTGCGCGCAGATGTCGCACTTGAAGGGGCGCTCCTGGTGGTGGCTCTGCGGGCCCTGGTGGTGCGCCACGTGGTAGCCGTGGTGGCCGGGCGGCGCGAACGGGTAGCCCCTCGGGGCGCCGCCGCCGCCAGCGCCGCCCGCCATGGAGCCGTTGAGCAGCGACATGTGGCCGCCCGGGTTGCCGATGTTGGACATGACGGGCATCTGGCTCTGGTACGAGTAGCCCGGCCTGGGCAGGCTGCCGCCGCCGTACTGCACGGGCGTCGGCATGCCGCCGCCGGCCTGCATGTGGTGCAGGGGCGCCGCGAGGCCGGAGCGCGACGCGGGTCCAGAGCTCGTCGGCGAGGGCTGCATGGATGAAGGGTGGGTGCCGAAGGAGTAGGGCGACTGGAGGGGCGCTGAAGGCGAGGGCTCAAACGACGGGAAGCCCGGGGTCGTGGGAGAGCGGTAGTCGCTCATCAAGGGCGCCGAGATGCCGCTTGTAGGCGGCTGCGTTGACGAGGGGGACATGGTGGATTGAGGACGCATCGACGGATGTCTAAGCTGCTGAGAAGCCAGCGAGTGAGATCCGCCATTCGGGATGGAAGTCGGGAAGGCCGGTACGTCTCCCGAGTAAGGCGGTGCTGGAAGGCCATGGGGGGACTGCGGCTCTCGTCCTGGAAAGGGCGCGTTTTGGGGGTAGTTCAGGGAGCGAGAAGCATTCGTCAAGGAGGCCATGTTTTGCTGCGGAGTATGTGAAGGCGGCGAGCTGGTAGGATATGAGTTGCCAATGGGCCATCCGGCGTGGTTGTAGTGAGAATAGTGACCAAAACTGCCTGGTTGTGAGCCTGCCGAACTTGCAGTCGTCACACCAGAGGACATGGGACTCAGCCCATCACTCGTTATTCCTTGACCGGGGCTGGTCAGCGTCATCTCAAGGCAAGGCGTGTGGATGAGAGGTGGGTGCAGTGGCAACAAGGCGACATCTACTCTGGGCCACAAGAAGGGGTTTACATACTTGGAATGTCCGGCATCTGGGGAGGAGGAGGCAACGTGAAGGCTGGTAACTGGACTGCAGCTGGTCTCCGGCTCGTGAAACTGGGCATATCCATGGGTGCGACCAGCTCGATTGGTCGAGCACCTGGAGGTCACTGGGACCTGGAAGTGACGGTGGAGGAAGAAAGCCCAGTAAGTCTCGGGTTCTTTCTCCAATAATTTCCGCCAGGCAAAGACTTGGGTTGGTGTCTGTTCGGTCCGACGTCGACAAGTAGTCTTTCGCGAGACCGTGGAAGAGGCTTGCAACCCCAGACTGGCAAAACCGGAACTGGCGTGCTTTGTGTTTGGGGTTGAAGCCCAGGTCAGATACGGTGTTCCCTCTGTGATGGGGGCCCGATATCCTGCGAGATGTCAAGTCTGAATAAGCCCCTCGGGAGACAAGATGGCTCAGTGTGAGGCACAGTGGTGGATTAGGAGCTCATATAGAGGCGCCGACGGGGTGGGAAGGCTCCCGACTTATAAAAGAAGTAACACACCGGCAGTGGCAGATTCGGGCGGGCTGTCCCTGCACGTCCAAGGGTGCAGTCTCCAGGACTGGTGCTAGCGTCTGGCCAGGCGCTGCAGACTAGTGAGATGATCAGGTGGGTGCTACGCTGTGCGGGAATCTTTGATCTGGGCTCGACCTATAGAACTTAGTCCGAAGGGCTGAAAGTTTGAGTGTAGGTGCCAGGGCAGAGGGGGGGTGGCTGCAACGAGTCTGCCAGCAAATGCCAGAGATGCTTTGGCCACTTGCGATTTAAAATTTAGGATCGAGACGGTCTAGCGTCTTCTCCAGGACAAGACGGATTCCAGGAGAAACGGAAGCCCAAACGTCTACGGCTCACGTAGCCGGGGCTTTGGATGGTCGCACCAGGATGATAAGACAGGAGCGGTTGGGACCAGTGCGTGTCCCGTGTCTCTGAGCGTTCCTCTCCCTATCACCTTCTTCAGCGAGGACGAATCGTCCGTCGAGAGATGTTGAAGGACGATGCCTTTGGAGTAGAGGTAGAGTTGGCGCCTGTTTGCCAGGCAGTCCTGCTCAACTAGCTTCGTGGAGGTGCTGCACCTTCTTTGGGGCAGTCGTGGGTGTAATGCAAGGGTTGGCGTGGCCTCGAACAAAGTCAATTGGATGCCAGGGGTGGTAGGGAAGAAGAAGGCATTCCAGAGTACTTGTTTTGTTGGTGGTATTGGCCGTGCCTGAGGATGGAACAGTGACAAGAGCGAGGCAGTTCCGGCTGGGAGGTATGACAGCCTTCACACCACCTCTTTTGCCTCCCTAACTTTGCAAGCCCGTTCCCAAACGGTGGGAGTGGCGTTGTGCGGTAAACAGGGTCTGTCTGGGGCGTTGGAGACAGCCACTACCCACGACAGGCGGATGAAGACACGGGAGGGTTTACTGTGCGCGATCGGGGGCGGTGATCGACTTTGGTGCGACTGCCAGAAACGGGGAAATTCGACGGCTGTCTGAACTATCCAGATTTCTTGGGCTGAGATCGAATATGAGCTCCCGCTCCGGCCAAAGACGTGAGTCGTGTCAAGCCTCGAGGCAGCGGGCGTGCGGTACGGCTGCCCGGGGCGCACTATCACAAGCAAGGCTGTTTGTTCCTTACAGTAACGCCAAGGGAGCGAATAACGGTCCCAAGAAATCGAAATCCCAAAGTTGGGGTGGTCGAAAAGCACCGTTCACGCCACAAAGGCGACTGTACTGGCTCGCCTAGTTGGCGTCACTGGTCTCAAATATTGGTATGCTGTCCGGATGTGGAGTCGCAGGGACAAGAATTGAGACAGACACGGCTCGCTCTGCAAATAATGTGTGTCTGCAAGCTAGAGGAATGAATAATTCGACAGGGCTAGAGTGTGTAAAGGAGGTCGCCGACGCGTTGGACAGAGAGAGAATCCGAGGCCACAAACACTCGAAGCGGCTGAGGAGCAATCGACCCACGAGTCACTCACCCCCCTCTCAGAGCTCTGAGCACTGTTGTGCAGGAGGTGTGCAAACGCAGACTAGGTCACCCTGGATGAGGCCAGTACAAAGTTACCTCGTCTGGGGGATTCCTAGTCAGGCCTTGGTATATACTTTCGACCCAAGAATTGGGCCGGTTTGACGGCCCCGGCTTTAGATAACGGACAAATCCGGACACCTTGCCTCGACTCCTCGGGATTCGAATCTTGGGCTTGGTGACTGAAGGATCCACGTACGGAGAGTATTAGGGACAGTTGAGTTGGAAATCGGGGATTAACGAGGTACCCGGGGTTCAGCTGTTTGGAGAAAAAAAGTGTGTCCTCGGGGTGGTACCCAAGCAGTAGGTAGGGACGCAGAATTGTTAAGAACTCCTGCAGGCAGAGAAGTCCTCCCCCCGGTGTCATCCGATCCGTTCTTGTGGAAATCTGAGTAGGTAGCTGTGCGTGCAGAGTACCTCCCTTCCTGACTAGGTACGTGAGGCCGGGGATCTGTTGGTGTGAAAGACAAGGCCATTAGGCAAGTCGGTTATCGCACACATACGTATGGGCTCTTGTACTGCCATCTCCTTTTTTTAGTGGATGGGTAGTAGTCAAAAGCAGGACGAGGTCTGGCCCGATCGAAGCGAGAAGCAGGAGTCAGTGAGCAAACGGAGCCAACATCAGAGAAGCTACCTGACTTTGGCTACTCCAGAGACTAGAGGAGGCCACCCCGTCAGATCCACTCCGCATGGGCATTCACCACGTTTCTGGGATGGTGATTCTAACGCTTCTGCCCGGACCCAGCTCCTAGACCCAAGACGTAGTCAGCCAAGACGACCTACATCCAGCAGCATGTCCCTTCCCCTTGTCCGCAACCTCGGGATCGATTGGACCCATCGACGTCGTAAGGTATGCCTCTCGAAAAAAATCAGTTGATCTTGGGGAGCGAGGAGATGGAGAGATGACTTCATGTCTCTTGCAAGCGGCAGCTCATCGCAGCCGGTCTGAGCCCGGGTCGACATTCTCCAGGCCAATGATCCAAGACACATTGACATCCAAAGCATGGATCTGGAGCGTACAAAGCCCACATTGTCCCGTCGACATTGGTCCCAGGTCGGGGGGTTGAGTTGGCTGTCACTGGTGGGAAAGACAGGAGATGGTGTGCAGTGGCCGGGGTTGTCGTTCAGCTGAAAATGGGGGTTCCCACCACCAATGTCCTATCACACCTTTTGAAGAGGGAAAGGCTCCAACTAGTTTACCGGCCACAGGCATGCAAGCCTACCGATCCACGGGATGGAGGAGCACTTTGACCAAATGGTAATAGCTCACAAACGGAGCCCGGGCTTCCAATCCAAAAGTGATCCTTGTCTTTGCTTTTCTTGAATAGTTTCCGGATGTATTCGTAGCCTGAGCTTCTTTCGGATCGTGTTGGTACATCGGCAGCAAACGCCCTGGGTGGTTCCATAACGGCACTCCTTGTACTACTCCGTACTTGTATGGTCCGCTCCAAGGACACATGAGTCTCTTTGCCCGGCCTTAAACCGTTTCTCCCTCTTCCAGGGCAATTGGAGGAAAGGGAGGAGGAGGAGGAGGAGGAAAAGAGAGAACTTCATGTCATGCCATGTCATGTCCTGTCAGTACTCTACCTCTCTGTACGGCCACGGTCCAGCCACGAGTCTCGAGCTTGAGCTGGTGGAGTAAAAGCTGCATGCAAGCACGCACACACGGACCCGCGACGTCTTTTCCAAGAACTTAGCGCCCCTGGCTGAAGCCAGGATGCACCCCGTGCTCGGGGGGGTGTCACTCCCAAGTTCCACTCCCAGTTGTCGATGTGCCCACTCTTTTGTCTCGTGTCTTGGCGCACTTTCTACGTCCTGTCTGTGTGTGCGTGCCCATGGCGCCGCCCACCCATGCCTTTCTTGTCTTAGCAAGGCATGCCTGTTCCGTTCTTGTTTTGCGCGTGCGGCCCCTTTCAGCCCATCGCGCGTGCTAAGTGGGAATGAAGAAAAAGGAAAGAAGATGAGAGAGAGGGAAGAGAGAAAGAGAGAAAACGGAGAGTGAGAGCTGTACGGAGGACGCATGGGAAGCCTGCCTCGCTTGCTAGGATCCTTGCTTGTTGCGAGCTCAATCCGCCGAGAAGGGTTAGGGCGAAACGGCCAAGGAGAGAACAGAACTATAGGTAGCTCGGTACGCGCTGAGACGTTGAACTGGCCAGTAGGTAGGGATGCAGTTATGCAATTTGCATCTTGCATGCGAGCATGGCATCGGACTTGGGCGGAACGGTCGCCAGGCGCCTTCGCCATGCCAAACAGCGGGACTTTTGCAAGACATTTTGGGCAATACTGTCACAGGGGGCAACGTTAGACAAAGCATGAAGCAGCATCGGCCGGCCTAGGCATGTAGACAGCTGGTCTGCCTGCTGAAAGATGGTAGGCAAGGCTGAATGAATGAATGCCGGTCGGAAATTGAGCCTTTCTGATCACCATGGTCCCTGCAAGCCACAGCATGTGCTGGGAGCGCGGGCGGACGCCATGGCTTGTCCCGGGGCAGCATTGACCAGACGCCAACTCTTCCCCCCATCTCGTGGCATGCAACAGCCCTGGAGAGTGCCTGGGCCCAGAATGGACGGGCTGGCATTGCATGCTGGGCCTTTCAGTGTTAATACAACAACAGTCGGGATTTCGTGGCGCTCGCCCTGCTCCGCTCCAGCTCCCTGCTCAATGGGGGTTGGCCTGCCTGTCGGAAGAAAGCCACCCTGCGAT